TTTACTCCAAATTTAATCCAACAACTCCTTTTCACTAAATAAGGGTCGGGAAGCATATTTGACTCGAATTTTGATATAAAATTTAGATGCGTCAATCATTTGACTCATAATTAAAAATTTTACATGTGATATTTTGTGTGACTGTTACATATATAACGAAAACATCATGAGATCACATGGTGATCATGTTACAAACAGAAGAAAATCGAGCATGTAAAATATGTCTCGTAATGCATCATAATAAACTGCCAATTTACTTTACCCCTCTTTTTTTTTTTTTTAACTTTTCTTCCTTTCTTTTATAATACTTTGAGTGTCAGAAAGCAGGTTGCCAAGCAAGTTACCTTTACAAGTTAGCAAACACGTCCCCAAGTATCTTATATTCTTTTCTATTACTACTTTTCTATAATCATTTACAATTCAATACACATTTCAATATATTTTAATATATTGAGTATCAAGAAGCAGGCTGTCGAGCAAGTTAATCTTTTACAAAATGGCAAGCAGGTCTCCAAGCTTCTCACATTTATCATTATTTTCTCTTCTTTTTTTTTTTTTTTGACTTTTCTTTTTTTTTTTTATATTATCTCAAGTGTAGAGAAGCAGGTTGCCAAGCAAGTCATCTTTACAAGTCAGCAAGCACATCCCTGAGCATCTCATATCCAATACATTTCAATATATTTTGATATATTTCAATATATTGAGTATCAGGAAGCAGGTTGCTAAGCAAGTTGATCTTTACAAGTTGGCAAGCAGGTTTCCAAGCTTCTTGTATTTATCAATTTTCCTTTCTTTTTTTTTTTTTTTTTGGAAAGAGCCTAGAAGAAATCACAACATGATAGAGCCAGAACAATATCGGGTAGTGAAAAAAAATGCACTGCCTATTCGAATTTTTCTAATTATTCCTTAAATAATTATTTCAGTTTCATTCATTTTTATTTTGGGTTAGGCTGAATAATCCTTGTGAAATAACCTTAGCATGACTATTGTCATGCTTCTGGTCATTACTCTTGCTCAAATCTATTTATTTATTCAATGAAGATACACTATAGAAAAAAAGAGAATATAAAGATATAAGTATATATATTTCTTCTTGCTTATATAAAAATAAAAATTTTTTTTTTAAAACCCCATCTTTGTAGAGGTATTTTGAACTGCCATTGAGAAAAATCTAAGGTAGAGTGTTATTGATTGTGATAGCCATTCTCCAATACTCATAATTTGTGATAATATCAGGTAGCTTTTATCACAACAGTTGCTCCTCTAATATACAAGCTATACTCTAAGTATTTCTTGTTTAGTTTCACATGTTCTACTATTCTTTTTACTGCTATGTTTACTGTTTCTGTTATTATACGTCTTCTCGATGTATTTAAAAATAGAAAGTCCTGATCACCAACCTTTCTTCTTGCTTTTAGATATCTGTAGACCAGTCTACAGGGCAATATACTGAGTTTGTAGGGTCTACAGAAATGAACTTACTTTTTGCAAATTGGTCTGTCTTAGACCTATTTATCCTAATTCAAAAAAATCTGTTTTCCATTTTTATATCAGCTACTCAAAGGTTGCAAAGTTCAGACAGTTTTTTTATCGTATAAAGACTGAGTGCAATCATTGCACAGTCTTGGTTTTAGATTAATTTATTTGTGTTTACGGGTAGTTTTTTTATATAGTTATGTAGGGCTTCTACTAGAAGGGGATCTCATAGCCATACTGCCTCCTTGTCTATTGTGGCTCATTTATTAGAATACAAACAAGATATTGCATATTAAAATTTAAGGTAGAGTTTGAAAATCCTTTCCTGTGATGATAATGCCCAATTACCACTATATACTAGCATAGTTTGAAGATTTTTCAGAATATGTCAAGCTAGACTAAGAATATCAATAATGATTTTGGATAGGCAGAACACAGCCTTAACTTATAATCCATGCAAAAGACTAAAAATTCTTTTTATAAGCATTTTAAATGCTTTTTATATGTTGAGTTTAATGCGATGATTTTATGTGTTTGGTGAGTAAAGCCTTTAAAAACAGATTTTTGCTGCTTGAAATTTCCAATGTAGGTTTTTTTACAGTTCTGGTGGTATATTGCTTCCTGGATTTGGAATAAAACTCTATACTATATGTGGGAGATCTATTACCTTAGTTTGTTTCTGTAAAAAAGTTGGCCACCACACGGCCTATAGCTATACTGATATAATTATAACTATTTTGGCACAGAATTGAATTCTATATTCAAACACTCTTTGTATTAAGCTTAATAGAGGGTACACATAGTTGTTTTTGTACTCCTAATTTTGGGTAAAGCAGTTATTACTTCTGCTTTCAGACAATAGAACTAGTTGTTGAAGTGTTCTATTTTTCTCATCCAAATACTTGCTATTTGGTCTACTGAAAACAGACCCCACCTTGCATTTATTTGAGCAAAGATATCCTGTCAAAGTATCTGATTAAGTTGTTAGCTGGATTTAACTTTGAAGGTTCTACTGAAACTTATTTATTTGTATATCATATTTGTTACAAAATTTTTACACTTGATGTATTATTTCTTTTGCTACAGTCACTTTCTTTTTGCTTCTATTGTTTTTCAAGCAACACGATTGTCTATAAAGATGGTAACCCAATAGTGCATAATAATGTGAGCAAAGGACTCAAGTTCTAATAGAGCTGTTGTTGATTCTAGATAGGTGATATTCGTATGTTGGTGATAACCAACCTGTTGTGAGATACCCATATATATCAGGATTATCTAAAAGGGTTTTCACTTGAGATGTCTATTTTTTGATCTTATATTTTCTTGTATCTATTTTATATTCATGTGAGCTTGTTGTATTAACTGTATAGATTTGTTCTATTTCTACTACTTTCAGTTTTTCATATCAATAATTGCTTAAAGTTTAATACAATGTGTTTTTACATATGTGAAAGCTCGATTTAAGCTTATTACTTGACCTACTGCAGATGATAGTTGCTGTGAAATTAATAGATTTGTCAATAACAGGTTTTGGAAATTTGTCTAAGTAACTTTTATTTTGAATTCTGGTACTATAACTTGTTTAGTTACTGTATTTAAGATTAGTCTATAATATTTTAGCTGTTGCATTGGTTCTAGTTGCCTTTTTTCTGCCAAAATGAACCTGCAATTTTTTAAGTTGTAAAATATCTTTATGTCTCTTATTTGAAGCAAAGTGTTCTAGCAGGGATGAGTAATCTATATATTGTCAATATGGTTGCTGCAGTATATTCTGGATGCTTTCTAGTAACCTATTAATAGTCTCAAATCTTGGCAAAGATCTATACTGCTAGGCTCAATCTGAATAGTAGAATCTGATAGTAATACCAATTTGCTCTCACTTTGAAGCCTAAAAGTTTTTGCGTTTTTGGGTCTATCAGAACATAGTGGTAGTCTTCTTTTAAGTTCAGAACTATCACATACTTGCTTTTTCCTGTTATTTGCAAGAAGGCCCCAAACTCTTTGAATCTAAATAATTTCTTTAGGAGGGTCTTGTTTAAATGTCTGAGATCTATAATAAGTCACTACTTCTTTGGTCCAGGTTTGAGAATCAAAAATATTGGACTTACTTCAAATAATTCTAGTAGACAGCTTGGGGAATTTAATACTAAAGTAATTGCGTTTTTTTCTATTAATCTCCTTATTTTTGAATTTAGCCAGATTGTCTGGGTTTTGTTAATATGTATTGATAGAAATCTGGTTGTGCTATTAAATTCAATAACTCTTTTGGGTACAATGAAATACTATTTTTTAACCAGTTCAATACCAGCTTCAGTGCTTGGATCTCTTGCTTTCAATAATTTATATGCTTCTGTTGATATAGACATTCTCAACCAGTATTGATATTTGGGCCTGAGTGTAGTCAATCGCACTTGTTATCTTTATAGAATCCAGAATATCGATTTCTATATAATGTATAACTTCTTGATTGGTAACTTGCATTTCTTTCCTGTTGGTAGTTTGGGTTCTTGTAGAGATCTGACAGGCATGAGTTAGTGAAATGGTCTGTGCCCCTGCAGATATAGCATCTATTTTGTGAACCTGTGATCTAGTTCTGAGGCTAGTAAGTTGGTCAAAAAATCTGCTTCTGACCATAAGTAGGGTTTTTCTGATTATTTTGATAGTCAGTTATTGGGTTATTGGAATGCTACCTTTGGTAAGTATTTTTTCCATAAGAGACTTTAGCAAAGCCAACTGTCTTCTTTTGTTTATTTTCTTAGTATCTGCTAATGCCTTTGCTTTCTCAATTATGGATTCCTTTCCTTTTAATAATTTATCTTGCATGGTAGATAGGCTATAGCTACATCCTATCTATACTCTTCTGCTATCTGTAAAGTGAATATTCTTTCTGCTACTATCTCATTAGATGAGTGGCACGGTGATCATTGGCATGCCAGGGTGGCATGCCTATGGTGGCATACCCAATGCCCAGATTGCCTATAGACATACTATTTATATATATTCTAAAAGGTTCCGAATAGAAAATAAAATAATGTAAATTCCGAAAAGAAAATTAGAGCAATGCTCCGAAGTATTCCAAAAGTTATTTTATAGTAGATGATAACTGATCAATTTCAATTGAGTATATTATCACGTGGTTTAATGTCATGCCAGGGTGGCATCCTGGCATGAGCTTTAGTGGTTGGCATGCCATATAGCACACAATATTTTTAGCTGTGCCACTCACCCTATATCTCATGAATTTCTGAAATATGATTTTTAATATTTGTTATGCTTTGGAATTTTATTACTAAATCTATTTCTTTTCTGATTTCACATAAGATATCATATTCATGTTGATCACAGGCTCTTTCAAATTTATAATTTGGTCAGGCTTCATTGTTTCCTATTTTTTGCACTTGAGATGCCACCGTATTTAGTTTATGATCAAAGTCCGTCATCACACTTTTTAGATTTCTAAATTTCAATATCATTAACTTTTCCAAAGACTAAGAGTAATCATTTACAATGTCTTTCTGTAAATGTCATTTGTTTCTTCTTCTTGTGGGTGGATCTGTTGGGATGCTTGTTTCTTGTATTAAAATTTGCTCATTTGTATCTTGATTACATTCTGACAGTTCTCTGATTCTAGTTCTTAGGGCCTGTTTCCTTAAAGTTTGAATTGGGTTAATCCCATCTTCTGCTTCTAATTTTATTAATATTTGGGGTTGAGTCAATAGAAATCAAGCAAATTTTTTCTAAGTAAATTTTTTTTAAACTTTAAACAATAAT